TGACACCCTTTGTAATACCTCACCTTAATCCTTTTCCTGTCTGAGGCTCTTCGTGGGAACCCTGTGGGGGTTTTCTTGGGACATCCTCCTTCCCTTCCACTTTTGGCTGCATATTGTCTTCAGCTCTGGCCTAACACATGTGGTTCACTTCTCTTTAGGACTTTTTGGGTTGCGATGCTATATTCTCGCTGACCCGTCACCTGGCTCCGTATATACAGGACCTTCTTATGGCACCATTTTTCAACATTTCGAGTGTGACAAAATTACTGTGTCCTTGGAGTCATGGGTGGCTTCTGTCCAACAGTGATCTACCTTTCACTTCAGGTGCCCTGTTGGTTTCTGTCAGCACTGGGTGTGGCACCAAATCCCGTTTCCTGGCCCTACCCTTCACAGCCCTGTCTGTCCCACCTTCCCACGGTATCGCATTTTTTTGTTTTTCGTGGCGATACACGGTATGCAGGCAATGGGTCTGGTGACTGCCTAGTGAGTTCTGGACTGGTTGTAGCTCATCTGGTGAATCTTTCATCAGAGCAGCCTTTCCTCTCCGAAGTTTAGGTTCATTGTGTTCTGTCATACCCTTATCCTCTCTCTTCCATTTCCTTCCTCCTTCATGGGATCCCTGGTCACGTGAGTGTCTATCTGTGGCAGTACTCAACTTCCTCACCCAACAGGTTGTCATACCTGCTCCATGCGGGTTTTACTTCCACCAGTTTTCCCATTGTGGGATGGTATATCTTTTTAGTGCTCTGCCCTTCAGTCTGGCTTCCACACCTTATATTTTGGTCAAGTGGTTAGCCCCTTTGCTCATCATATTCATACCCTGGGGCTGCAATTCTATGTGTACATGGGCGATTGGCTTCTTCTTGCCCATTCCGAACAGGTGTTGGCTAGTCCTACTCATCAACTCCTTCTCAGAGCTGTGTGGGTGAGATGGTTGATCACATTCCTTCGTCCTACCCAATACCTTGTACATCTGGGTGTATTTCAATATCCATCTTGGTCAGGCCCAACCTTCTCCTCTTTGGCCCCATGCTGTGGAACTGGTCGTTCGGATAGCCTTGTCTGCTCCGTTACTTTCTAATGCCAAGGTTCTATCGTTTTGGGGGAGGTGGTTGTTTCTGATGCCTATCAAACCCTCGGCAAGGCTCATGAGCATTTGCTTCAGTGACCAGTTGAATCTCGTATGGGATCCCTATGGGGTACATGGGTCGATCACCAAGAGGTTTTGGGTCATTTGTCTGCAGAAGAAAGTTCTCTTCACATCAGTGTCCTGGAAATCCTAGCTGACCATCAGGCATTGTATCATTTTCTTTCTATCAATAGCGGTCACCTGGTTATGATCAATTCCAACAATTCTACAGTGGTGGCTTATATCAATCACCAAGGTGGCACCCAGTTGAGTCCCTGTGTTTTGCATGTTGGATCTTTTCTATTAAGCCCACTCCCATCACATTCATTAGATGGCGTGTCATATTCTGGGTGCATTCAATATAGTAGAAGATCGGGTTTATCCCACGGAGTGGTCCCTACATTGTGCTGGTGATGCTCTCATCGTTTGGGTACTACCCATATCGATGTGTTTGCCACCACCCTCAATCACAAATTACTTCAATTTTGGTCCCCGGTTCCCCCATCCTAGGGCTTTGGGAATAGATGCCTTTAATCAGGATTGGTCCCACCTGTTTCTTTCTATTTATCCTCCAATCCGATTACTTCATCAGGTAGTCTCTCTTTTCCATGCCATGTAGAGTTCTTCTGATTGCTCCTTACTGGCTCTGTCAACCATGGTTTCCTCGGTTGCTTTGGCTCCAGGTGATCCCTCCTATTCCTCTTCCCTTACTTCCAGATCTGTTACATCAACCCCAGCTGCCGGTTCTACATCCAGCACTTCCTGTCCTCCGTCTTCAGACCTGGGTTTTGTCCTTTCCCGGGCAAGGCATTCCGAATCCTCTCGCCAAGTAGCTTCTCATTTAGCCCATTCCATTCGACCTTCTTCCTTGGCTGTTTACCGACAGAAGTGGAACCTTTTTCACTCCTGGGCTTTGGCTCGGGGTTTTCTGGCTTCTTGGCCTACAGTTGCTGGTATCTCCGAATTCCTTACCTGGCTCTTTGAGAGGGGTTCATCGGTCTTCTCGATTTTGTGTTTTTAGGCAGCCTAATTCCATATCTACTCTTGTCCTGATCTGGACAGACTCCTCTGCCCAGTACGTGCCCTACATTGTTATATTGCATGCACAGCTTCCTTCTGGGGTTCTTGTTCCTGCCTCTTTATCCCATAGCAAACTTTTTTTTCTATGATTTTTCCCCTGCTATCCTGACCAATTGGGTTCATCGTTTGATCCAGTTGGCTTATTCATCCTTGTCCCTCTCCCAGCATGATCTCTTTCACATGTTTTCTCATCAAATCTGACACCCTACCTTCTCCCTTGCTTCTTGTCTTAATCAGCCATTGAAGGAGATTCTACAGTCAGGCATGTTGACAACTTCACACAGGTTCATCTCCCACTACTTGCACCACATCATGATTTCTTCTTACATATGCTTCTTTTTCTTTCAGGGGCCTTTTCTTCAACTTCACTTTGAATCCCACTCTGTGGCGATTGGTGCCTGAGCTGGTTTTCATTCTGAACACTGAATTGGTTCCACATAGATGACTATAACCATTATCAGATATATTTATATACTCAAACAAAAACACAAATCTGCACTGTGTGCCATGTTGATTCATGCACTTTGTCTATGGCTATGCATGCTTACACTTGAGGTGGGGTGTTTCACATGATTACTAGAATGTGAATAATCTTGTGATGTTTGCTTCATAAACATGCCCGTTCCAGACTGTACCACCCGTGGATGGCATGAGTAAGGCAGAAGAGGAATGCTGCTCATCCCTACCATGCTTGGACTGAATAAGTCGGTATGTTCTGCTTTTAAAAATAGA